ATATATATATATATATATATATATATATATATATATATATATATATATATAAGAAGTTGAAGAATGTCAAAATAAACATGTATAATTAATACATGTATATAATCATTTTTTTTTTTTTGAAAATTAACAAGTATAATTTATAAATATATTTTATAATGATTATAAATGAACATATGTTTGTGAACATATATGAAATACATTGATGAAAGTTCGAATTATTTAGATATTTATTTTAACACACATTAATATTTCAGACACATATACAATAATTATTTATAATAATTATAAATTAATATATGTTTGTCAACATATATCAAATGCATTGATGAAAGATCGAATTATTGAGATATTTATTTGAACACACATTAATATTTCAGACACACGTATAAACGTTCTAAGTGACCTTATGTCAAACTTGACATTGTTTAGTTTTGTGATTTTATATGGTAACATATGCACACAGGCACACACTCACACTCACACTTAAGCATTTACATGCGTCAAGGATTTACGATTGACATAACGCGATGAATTTTTATTAATAAGATGAAATAGTTGTGTGTGTGTGTGTGTATGTGTGAGTTTGAGTGAGTGAGTGAGTGAGTGAGTGAGTGAATGAGAATAAAAAGAACAAAAAAAAATATATATATATATATATGTATATATATATGTCATGTCGTTTTAATTTAAAAAAAAAAAAAAACAGAAAAAAGATGTCTACTTTTCTTTTTATTGTTTTTTTTTTTTCAAATGGTTTGTTTTTCCTTGTTCTTTTTTCTTTTCACGTTGTTACAGAAAGGAAGACCATATTAAGGAACATTAGTGGAGATTTCAGACCGGGTGAACTCACCGCCATTATGGGACCATCGGGTGCTGGAAAAACAACGCTTATGGATATCCTGGCAGGTTTTATGTCAGTAATTTACAAAAAAAAAAAAAACAGAAAAACAGAAAAAAAAGAAAAGAAATAGAAGAAAAACAAACAAACAAACAAACAAAAAATAATTAAATAAATAAATGCCATAGAGAAAAACACAAACATAATTTTCATAAGTGCAAGTGTTTTTTTTTTTTTAATTACTCTAACGAAACTCAGAGATATGCACAAAACAATGAAAAGTTATCAAGGTAGCTCTTTTTTTTCTCTTTTTTTTTTTTTCTTTTCTTTTCTTCTCTCTCTTTCTCTCTATTTTTCTACTTCTTTGTTTCTCTCTCTTTTTTTTCTCTTATATATATAAAGTAGATATTTGTATTCTAGCATGTGATGTTGATGATGATGATGATGATGATGAAAATGATGAGATGAATAGAATTTAAATTGCGTCATAATTTTATTCATCATCGAGCTTCGTTAATATTTTTATTATTTTTTTTTTTATTTTTATATTTCATTTTTTAAATGCGAATTTTTTTTTAAAATGGGTACTTCTAGTAACAAGTAAATTTTTGTAGGCCTTATCGACATATATATATATATATATATTAATTTAATTATTTTCTAATTAATATAATTAATATATTATTAACAATTATTATTATAATTAAAATGTATTAATTATAATAATAATTATAATAATTTAATTAGAATATATATATATATATATATATATATATATATATATATATATATTATGTTTTTGGAATATTTTTCTAATAAAAATATTCTTACGTCAATGTAGAAAAANTTTTTTTTTTTTTTTTCATGAGTTTCACAAGGATTCCATTTAATGTATCTGCAAAAAAAAAAAAAGAGAAATTTTCTTTTTGGTCACTCGGGTTAATTTTTTTTTATAAAGGAAACTGACTGATGTGTTAGAGACAAAATTATATTCCTATCGATAAAATTGTTCGATAGTGAGCGATAAGAATCGATAATCTCGTTTCGTTTGACAAACGATATAATACCATCAAATAAATGATTTTGTTCATTTCAATGACGTAAGGTTATTGTAAAAATCAGCTAAAACAAAAACAAAAAAAAAAAATGGAAAAATTTTTTAAGAATTTTTTTTTTTTTTTTGAAATATTTTCAATAATATTTTGTAATCAAAAGTTTGATTACAGTATTACATTGTTGTAATCCAAATTTATACAGACATTTATACAGACATTTATACAGATATTTGTAGTCAAAAGATTACAGTAGATATTTTTGTAATCAAAAGTTCGTTCATTTTTAATGGAAACGATGTATAAAAAGAAAAAACTAACCTAAAAATTAATATTCTTTTTTTATTATTATTATCTTTGTTTGTTTGTTTTTTTTTTGTTTCCTATCAGTAAGAAAAACAAAAACATTTAAATTTAAATTAATATAAATGCAACGTTTCAATTCTAAATATCATCACCCTATATATAGATATTTTTAAATATTTTTAATAATATTTTGTAATAATAAGATTGATTACAGTATTACTTTGTTGTAATTCAAATTTATACAGACATTTGTACAGATATATGTAATCAAAAGATTACAGTATATATTTTTCTAATCAAAATTTATACAGACATTTGTACAGACATATGTATACAAAAGATTACAGTAGATATTTTTGTAATCAAAAGTTCGTTCATTTTTAATAGAAACGATGTATAACAAGAAAAAAACTAACCTAAAAATTAATCTTTTGGTTTTTTTATTATCTTTGTTTGTTTGTTTTTTTTTTTTCCTATTAGTAAGAAAAACAATTACAAGAATAAAACATTTAAATTTGAATTAATTAAATACAGCATTTCAATTCTAAATATCATCACCCTATATATATATATATATATATATATATATATATATATATATTATGTTTTTGGAATATTTTTCTAATAAAAATATTCTTACGTCAATGTAGAAAAATTGCTTCATAGTTCATTTCATAATTAAACCGTAATCTATTTATCTATCTATTCGTTTTCCTAGTATGAGATAAATAACATTATTTTTCTCATACTTATGTGCATTTCATTATAATATATCAACATAGCGATTAGAGTATAGTATAAAAGTGTATTTTTTGTGATTTTTATTCTCGATCACATCAATCTATCTATGATTTGTAAGATTTTATTTACAAATAATAATAAATAATAATAAATTATAATAATAATAATAATAATAATAATAATAATAATAATATAATATAATATTAAATAAAATGAGGCCTGTTAGCTCAGTGAGTAAAGCATCGCACTTTATGTTAATTATTAAATAAAATGAATATATAATAAATAATATAATAAATAATATAATTAAAATAAAAATATATATTCAATATATTTATAATATAATATAATTAAATATTAAATAATAAAATATATTAAATGTGTATATATATATTTAATATAATGTATTATATTAAATTTTTATTATATTAAATTATTATATTTAATATATTATAATATTTAATATAATATAATAATAATAATAATAATAATAAAACGATAGAAATATATATTTTTGAATATAATATGATAAATATTTAAATATATATTTAATGTATTTATAATATAATATTATTAAATATTAAATATAATATAATATATTAAATGTATATATATATATATATATTTAATATTATATATTATATAAAATTTTTAATATANTAATATATTATAATATTTAATATAATAATAATAATAATAATAATAATAATAATAATAATAATAATAATAATAATAATAATAATTTGTACTTCATTGGTATAAGTTGAATTGTTTTGTCCAATGGTTCAAGAAAATCAACTAAAGTTGTGATTTTGAATAGAAAACAAAAATAATAATAATAACAACAACAACAACAATAATAATAATAATAATAATAATAATAATAAAAAAGATAGAACAATATAATAATGAATAATATTTGATAAATAATTCGTATTGTTTAAACATGCGACACCTTTTTACTTTGACCTTGTTTTCTAAAAATAACTTTTGTTCTTTTTGTTTGATTTTTTTCTTGTTTGTTTTTTTTTTTTTTGTAGCACGTCGTCCTTCGATGGAAACGTTACGGTGAATGGCATTGAAAGGAACCTCGTTGAATTTAGACGTTCATCTGCATACATTATGCAAGACGACAATATGCAACCACTTTTCACAGTGGAAGAAGCAATGCTAGTAGCAGCTGATCTCAAACTTACTTTGAAGCCACGTGAAAGATTGCGCAGGGTATAGGTCTATCACAAATTTTATTTAAACAATGCCCTTATCAATAATAATAATAATAATAATAATAATAATAAATCTCAGCTGTAGGTTTGGTGTTTTGTAAAACTTTTCTAAGATATTGTTTTCTTTTTTTTTTTTTTTTCTAGAAAATTGAATCATTTGTGTAAATCTAATATATATTTCATTAATATTCAAAAACAATTATAATGCAGATTACAAATATTGTTCAAATAATTCTTTACTTCATTGGAATAAGTTGAATTGTTTATACAATGATCCAAGAAAATCCAACTAAAGCTGTGATTTTGATAGAAAAATAGTATTATAATAATAGCAATAAGAAAAAGAAGAAGAAAAAAAGATATGTAATTATTTGTTGGAAGAACAAGAACTAGAACAATAACAATAACAAATTAAAAATAAACATGTATATATGTAACAATTATTATGAATTTGAACCAAAAAGTTTATGTAATCTTTTTTTTTTTTCTTTAAATTAATATTAGCAAAGTAAATTACATATATCAATTATTAATATGTTGAATTACAAATTTATGTAATTTTTGTTTTTTTAAAATTAATATTTCCAAAAGTAAATTTAACAAAATTTATGTATTATTTTTTTTGTAAATTAATATTTCCAAATTAAATTACATATACCAATTATTATTAGGTTGAAGATACAAATTTATGTAATTTTTTTTTGTTTAAATTAATATTTCTAAATTAAACTACATATACTAATTATTATTAGCCTGAACCAAAAAGTTTATGTAATTTTTTTTTTTTAAATTAATATTTCCAAAGTAAACTTTACAATAATTATTATTAAGTTGAACTACAAATTTATATAATTTGTTTTGTTTAAATTAATATTACCAAAGTAATTACATATACCAATTATTATTAGGTTGAACTACAATTTTATGTAATTTTGTTTTTTAAATTAATATTTCCAAAAGTAAATTTAACAAAGTTTATGTATTATTTTTTTTGTAAATTAATATTTCCAAATTAAATTACATATATCAATTATTATTTGGTTGAACTACAAATTTATGTAATTTTTTTTTGTTTAAATTAATATTTCTAAATTAAACTACATATACTAATTATTATTAACTTGAACCAAAAAGTTTATGTAATTTTTTTTTTTTAAATTAATATTTCCAAAGTAAACTTTACAATAATTATTATTAGGTTGAACTACAAATTTATGTATTATTTTTTTTTGTTAAATTAATATTTCCAAATTAAATTACATATACCAATTATTATTAGGTTGAACTACAAATTTCTGTAATTTGTTTTGTTTAAATTAATATTACCAAATTAAATTACATATACTAATTATTATTAGGTTGAACTACAATTTTATGTAATTTTGTTTTTTAAATTAATATTTCCAAAAGTAAATTTAACAAAGTTTATGTATCATTTTTTTGTAAATTAATATTTCCAAATTAAATTACATATACCAATTATTATTAGGTTGAACTACAAATTTATGTAATTTGTTTTGTTTAAATTAATATTACCAAATTAAATTACATATACTAATTATTATTAACTTGAACCAAAAAGTTTATGTAATTTTTGTTTTTTAAATTAATATTTCCAAAAGTAAATTTAACAAAATTTATGTATTATTTTTTTGTAGATTAATATTTCCAAATTAAATTACATATACCAATTATTATTAGGTTGAACTACAATTTTATGTAATTTTTTTTTGTTTAAATTAATATTTTCAAAGAAAATTTTGCAACAAGAACAATAAAATAAAACAAACGATTATTTGATTTCAATGTAAAGAACATTTGATGAAAATTATACAAACTTTTGGTTCACCCACTATAATATATATTTAATTATTATTATTAAAGATAATGTTTTTTTTTTTTTTTATTATATTTATCAACAGATCGAAGAAATTTTATCTGTGATGGGATTGACAGAATCACGATTTACCCTTATCGGTGCCCTAAGCGGTGGACAAAAAAAAAGATTGGCCATTGCATTAGAATTAATTAACAATCCACCAATAATATTCTTAGACGAGCCTACGAGGTATGTTTAATAAATATTTATTTAATTAATTTTAACACACGTAAAAGTGATTAAAATCAAATTTTGTACAATCATTTAAAAAAAAACAAAAAAATCCTATACAACTTTTTATCTATTATTATTGTTATTATTATTATTATTATTTATTTTGTTTTATTTATTCTCATTCACTATTATTTTTCTTTTCTTTGTTTTCACTTTAGCGGATTGGACAGTGTCACATCGAAACAATGTATCAGATTTTTAAAACAATTAGCATTAGAAGGACGAACAATAATTTGTACAATACATCAACCTAGTGCATCTTTAGTTGATATGATTGATCATCTTTACGTTGTTGCTGAAGGTTATTGCGTTTATACAGGTGGATCACATAATTTGGTGCCATATTTAAGTAGTCTTGGTCTACGTTGTCCTACACATTATAATCCTACAGATTTTAGTAAGTATAATAATAATAATAACAACAACAGTTAGGGTTAATCAAAAATTCGTGTATTTTTAAATATATATTTCCAAAAGTACAAAATTTACGTTAACGTTACAAACGTTGTTTGTCCGCAATGGACTCCTAAACTACTGAACCGATTTTAATCAAATTTTGTACACTCTGTGCAGTTTCATCCAACTTGAAACATAGGATAGTTTATATTATTTTAATACATATAAATTACGTGTCACGTTGTTTGTTCGCAATGTACTCCTAAACTACTGAACCGATATTAATTAAATTTTGCACACTGTGTGCAGTTTCATCCAACTTGAAAGATAGAATAGTTTATATCTCAATTTATAATCTCAATATTATTTTATTAATCGTGAATTATTTGTTTATTAACAAAGAGTCATGATTATCTCTGTTAGTTCAATAATATATATATAAATATCAAAACTAAAGTTTCAACACAATAAATACACGAACTTTTGATTCAACCTTGACACGTTGACCGCCATCATACTTTTTTAAAATTCTAATGTTACAAAATTAATTGAACTTAATTACATTAATATTATTACACAATATATATATATATATATATATATATATATATATATATATATATATA